TGAAAGGTGAAGAAGAAACACTGAAATCGATAAATAACTATAAACGTTGCAAGACCTCTTTGTAGACAACGTATTTTGTTTTATTAGTTGAACGACCTTCCTCGTCACATATGAGTACCTTCAAACCTTCTTTGCTTGTTACACGAGAAATAGCAACATATAACTGATCATGGGTGAAGACAGGTCTACGAAAGTATAATCCAACATTTGATCATGACTGTCCTTGACTTTTGTTAATGGTCATAGCGAAACAAACTGCTATTGGGAATTGCCTACGTTGAAAACGAAATGGAATTTTTTTATCGGATGGGGTCAACATCATGCGAGGTATATAACTGGTCTCGTTAAAAAATCTACCATATATGATAGATATGATTCGTGCTTCAATGAAGTGTTTTCCAAGCCTTACGATTTGTAATCTAGTACCATTGCATAGTCCTCTGGTTTGGTCGATATACGAAAAAACATGACCGAAACACCTTTTTTTAGTATAAGTTTATGGTTGGGAATTATGGAGGCCTTAAAAGCGTTCAACACATCCGGAGAGTATATTGATTCCTCAAAAGAATCTTCTGTCTCGGTCTCACATAAGGAATCTGAACTCAGATATGGTTTCCCTTCATCTTTCATCATTTCTAACATGTAGTCGTTGATAGAATCAACTTCTTCATTAGTAGGGACCAAAATAGCTTTATCTTGAAAATACGATGGATCATCAAGATGATTCTGAAAAGATGAATAAATGCAGGATACAATTGAATGAATATGGTCACCTGTAGAGGGAACGATCACATCTTCTAGAAATTCAACTTCAACTTCACCATCATTAGGACCACCGATAGTACCTTCACCAATTTTAAGAATCCAATCAGCAAAGGATTTTGTCTCTTCGAAATCATTGTTTGGACAACCGAACTAAAGCCTCACGTTTACAGTCAAACGTAAAACTGTACATTCACGCCATAATAAATGTTGGTATTCATATATGTTGTATACTGTAAAATGTAAGATGAAGTACATAAAGTTTGAGAGAAGAGTAAATTCATAAATGGATATCATAACATAACATAAAAATGATTATACAAAGAATGGAATTAAAGGATATGTGCGAAGAAAATATAGAATTAAAGTCGGTTAACAAATATAGATAGTTTAGAATTTTTTTTGAAGTATGAATTATGGACTTTGTTTAAGTATGTGGACTTGCATTATTTTTGTATTTTTGGTTTATAATGAACTTTTATATATTTGTTTTTTGTTAGTTTTTTATATGCGTTTTGTTGACACAAATCTATTTAAATGAACACAATTACACTTTTGAATGTAAATAAAATAAACCTAGTTAAAAACTATAAATCACGGAAAAATAAGTATAAACAATGAAATGCGTACCTTTTTGCCTTTGATTAACCAAGCTAGCAATTGTTTACTGCTATATAGGGATGTAGAAAGGAAGAAGTATTGATTTAGTATCGTGAATATCAATATAAACGAAGAGGTAAAAACATAGATAAAACACAATAAAAACCCCCTTTTTGCAGGAGGGTGAAGGAAAAATAAAATTGGTTTTGGCGGAATATGTCATATATATGTATTGAATCCAAGTTGGTTTTGGAGGGATAAGATAAAAGTCATTTTTATCTTATCCCTTAAATGTTGAATTTCAAAATGTATTTAGGATAGATAATGTAGAACATTTTAGGATTATTTTTTAAAATTTAAAATTAGGTTAATGTTGATGGTTAGTTTGAAAAAAATGGTAATTTTTATAACAGCCCAAGAATATATTATTCACCAAATCGGCTCCATGACTTTACATTTAATACCAAACAGCCCCTACTACATATTGTGCCCAAGAACATATTATTTACCAAATCGGCTCCATGACTTTACATTTAATACCAAACAGCCCCTACTACATATTGTTTATTATGTAAGCATTTTACTTTGAAAAGTGTACAAATTAAGACATTGTATTTTCATTTTGTTATTAAAGACACATTTCATTTGGAAAAGCCATGTACTTTATTCAATTATTTGTTTGTCATAGCAGGTATGCTATTTTTGTTTTTTTATAGAATTGCATGTCAACATAGTTTGTTACGAACAATAAAAAAAATTATTGTTATAAAATCTTGTTTGTGGAATAACAAACTCAGAGGCTTAAGCCAAAGATTAAGGATATTACCTTTAAACTTAAAACAAATTGACAATAATAGACTTGGTCAACATAGTTTTTTATTTAAACTTAAAACAAATTAACAATAATAGACTTGGTCAACTTAGTTTGTAACATAAGTTGAGGTGAAAATATATGTAAAAGTTAAAATTCATGAAAAGAATTCAACATAATTTTGAACTTGTCTCAAATAACACGACTACTATCGTGTTATAATTAAATGAAAAACAAACATTATCTTCAAAATGAAAACAACATACTTGTCAAAGAAATCCTTAAGCAAATAATAAAAACTCAAAGAAAAATCGTCAATGATAAATGTCAAATAATCATAACTGCTAAATTTATTCGAGTTTTTTCCATTTTTTGAATCTTAAGGGTATGAGGAGCAACACCATCTTTTGAGGAAGACCATTCAAACGATTCAGTGGTGGTAACAATCTCAATAGGGCGTTTCAGTGAAGTAGTTGTCGGTGTCACCGCATCAAGATCAAGAACATTAATATTGTCACCTTCAATAGAAACACTCTTTTCCTGTATCAAATTAATAAAACAATGTTAATTAACAACATTAATATTAATATTGTCACCGCATCAAGAATAAATGTTTATTAACAATGTTAAATTGCTAAATTATATGAATTTAATTTTACCTTAATAGACTTGTTGATAGGAGTACCATCAAAATGAATATTGTTTTCTTCGTATGCAGGTGAATATTTGAAAACTGCACCAACTGCAAGTTCATCATTAGCCATCTTATGAACGGTGTAGGCGTGATAACTGTTCTCGAGATTAAACTTTGAAATCTGAACTTTAAAAACATACTTCCTATTAAGCATCGTATTGAACTCATCGGGGATCTTTTGGCGTCCTTGATCCTAAAGAATATTATAATAAAACATGTGAGTAGTTAATAAATCCCGATTAAAATAAAATGCAATAACAGTATACAATTAACTTTTCGTGTGTACAAATTAATAGAATAGTGTAATATAACGTTGCCTTTGATATCTTCTCAATCAACCAATGATTACAGCGGTGAATAAGATCTTTAACATGATGGTCAAACAATAAAAAAGAAGTAGACACTGTTTCATCTTGAACACGTATTACGACCCTTACCCTAAATATTATTGTATGACACGTTAATGGACAATTAAATAAAAATTGAAACATTGTAATAATGATTCATGAGACAAGAAGTTTACAAATGTAAAATTATGAACTTACTTGCCGAATACATCAGAAACTCCTCCGCAACCATTACAATTAAATGGTTCACCATCACTATCATCACCATTTTTAGTTACATTTTTTGAACAGTCACGACAATAAAAAGAATACCATCATTCCTCCAAATCGAAACCGATTATAGTAGCAATGGTAGACAAACCAATTTCCTGATTGGTAAAAAATATATATATATATATATATATATATATATATATATATATATATATATATATAGACACACACACACACATATTAAAAAAATTGTTATATATAATGGAAAAATATGAATAATATTAAGTATACATCATTGTAATCTGGAATATCATCAATGTTTTTGATATGAAAATGGAAGTAGTAATCTTCTGGCTTGGCCACAACAGTTTGTGTGTTAAGTTGTGTAGTATTAATGGAAGACTCAACATTCAAATCGATATCAGCAATGCTACATATAAGAAGGAAAAATGAAGAAGATCAACAATAATAACAATTACTGATTAAGAATAAGTAAAAATAAAACAGTAAATAATTATATCCTAGTCATCAAATACATACGCCTTTTTAAATTATGAAATATGATGCATATCATCATTAACATGCAATCTCGACCCAAATAAACAGTTACCGACTTGTGGCTGACCTATAAATAGCAATTGAAGTAATATATTATTTCATATTATAAATAAAATATTAATGTAATGAGCATAGACATCTAAAAATAATAATTCTTACCACCCCAAGTCTTGAGCTTTGCCATACGTAGGAGGATGATCACAGGAGCATTTTCATTTTGATGTTCAGATATGTAGCTGTTCAACTTCAATGCAAAACCATCCCACAAAGCAACTTACATTTTCCTACCACTATAATTGATTGTTTGGGTTATATGAATAAAATACTAAACATGATAAATTAATGAAAAATAAAGAAAAGTACCTCAGATCTTGTGCAACAATATTCATTAGCCTTGTTTCCCTTGCATTCTCCTTAATCACTCTCATGGGTTCAGTATATACAACTTGACCAATAAAATCTACAAAAAGTAAATTTGAATCAATTATTATAATATAAATTGGTTAAAATATATATATAATATAATAAATGCAAAACTGTTAAGGGGAAAACTCTCACCAAATGCAACAGGAGTGTCAAAATTTCTGGCTGTCAGATCATAAAAACTCACAAAAATAAAAGGATCGATCCTATCAACAAAAGGAGTTGATACACGAATTGTGGTTGTTTTGTGGAAATTTATCTTATGCTTGTGAGCAACCAACATGTAATCTCCTTCGTTTCTGGTCATACCAAAGTTAGTGATTTGCCTTACAGCTCCTTCTTCCAGGAGGGCTTGAAATGCATTTATGAGATATTTTTGATTATTGCATGTATTCTAGTGCCCTGTAGGGTGATAAAGAATATTATTATATGAAACAAAAATAAAACATTTGTTTTTTTTCATATTATTTTAATCTTACCACCTGGTCCATTAAAATCATGTCCAAGCTGCTGACCATGTTTGGATTGTTTTTCTATGTCTGTTTCCAAATCATGACAACTTGAACACGAATATTCCATGATTCTTTGGAGACATCTATGTCAGCCAACTTATCAATGACGATTTCACTGTCACTGTTTTGTGCCATTTCGCTTGTGCTATGAGAAATAGAAAAGTATTAGAGATAATTATGAGATATAGTGAAAAAAGTAATTCAAAGATTCACAAGGTTTTTGTTTAATGTAAATATGATGTTGTTCAATTAACATAGACATTCTTGGTTGGCATACTTAACCATGAAAAAAACAAAAATAAACATTAATTGCATTTTGCAAAATAATAGTTGGCTGCAATTATTTATTAATGGAAGTAGGATGGTATCAAATCAAAACATACATAGTATGTTGATATATTTCATAGAAAACAACAAAGCAAAAAAAAAGAGTATGAACACTTATCATATAGAAGGCTGTAGAAAGGAAGAAGTATTGATAAACAATGAAATGGGTGCCTTTTTGCCTTTGATTAACCAAGCTAACAATTGTTTACTGCTATAGAAGGTTGTAGAAAGGAAGACTTATTGATTTAGTATCGTGAATATCAATATAAACGAAGAGGTAAAAACATAGATAAAACACAATAAAAACACACCTTTTGCAGGAGCGTGGAAGAAAAAATAAAAATGGGTTTTGGCGGAATATGTCATATATATGTATTGAATCCAAGTTGGTTTTGGAGGGATAAGATAAAAGTCATTTTTATCTTATCCCTTAAATGTTGTATTTCCAAATGTAGTTAGGATAGATAATGTAGAACATTTTAGGATTATTTTTTAAAATTTAAAATTAGGATAATGTTGATGGTTAGTTCAGTTCCCGTCTTTTGTGGCTGATTTTTCGATTTGAATATGGGAAGTAATTATGATAGACAGAAATAAATAGTGAATTGTTTTGTTAGGATGACATCACCAGAAATATTAAGAACACTTAAGGGTTGAAATTAATCAAAGAAATCCAATGAATGGTTCTGATTGTTGAAGGTGACATCATCATGTTTCTGTTTTAATATATATAATGTAAATATGATGTTGTTCAATTAACATAGACATTCTTGGTTAGCATACTTAACCATGAAAAAAACAAAAATAGACATTAATTGTATTTTGCAAGATAATAGTTGGCTGCAATTATGGATTAATGGAAGTAGGATGGTATCAAATCAAAACATAGATAGTATGTTGATATATTTCATAGAAAACAACAAAGAAAAAAAAATGAGTATGAACACTTATCATATAGAAGGCTATAGAAAGGAAGAAGTATTGATAAACAATGAAATGCGTACCTTTTAGCCTTTGATTAGGCAAGCTAACAATTGTTTACTGCTATAGAGGGTTGTAGAAAGGAAGAAGTATTAATTTAGTATCGTGAATATCAATATAAACGAAGAGGTAAAAACATAGATAAAACACAATAAAAACTGAAGGGCCTATATATATGGTTTGGGCTAGGCAACAATGTATAGATGAGTTAGGGCATTTGACAATGTATTTTGGAGTCTTTTGTGCATGTTTGGTGTTTTCGGTCTAGATGAGCTTTCGGTTAGGGAGTGACCGAAAACAGGCTTTCGGTCAGCCTGACTGAAACCTGTTTTCGGTCCACATTTGCATATATAGGTTGTCAGGTTGTCAGTAGTATGTTGTTGATCTACAGTTGTTTACTGTGTGGTTTTCGGTCCATTGAGTTGTATCAGACGGTTTCATGTGTTAATCGTATGCAAGCTCAAGTTTCATTCATCTTCTACTCATTTTCTTCTTTATTTTCATTTGCTTGATTGATCATTGGTGAAGATCCTTCCATCAAGGACCTTACAATTGGTATCAGAGCAAGAACCGGTGTTAATCAAGCTTATTATTCAGTTTTCAGCTTCACAGTTTGTGTTCATCAAGTTCTCGGTCAATAGAAGCCTGTTTCTGCTTGAGTTTTAAAGATCAGATTGTAGCTTGTTTGGTGTGGAATCGAGATCTGCTTGGATTTCAGCTTTTCGATTGAAATCTTATTGTTTTCGGTTTGATCTTCATCAACCGAAAACATATATTCAATCGTTTTCGGTCCAGATCTATCTTGTTTGAAGGTTGTGTTTGAGGTTTCAGTGTGTGGAAAATCAATTTAGGATCGAAAATCTAAGTTTTTCGTTGAAAACTGTTAGTTTTCGGTTCAATCTTCAGAAACCGAAAACTGTTCGTCAACCGAAATCTCTTGAATCTTCAGAAACCGAAAACTGTTCTTCAACCGAAATCTCTTGAACCTTTAGAAACCGAAAACTTTCTTATTCTTCAGAAACCGAAAACCCCTTATCATTCAGAAACCGAAAACCCTCTCTCTCTTCATAACCGAAAACCTTATTTTTCCTTTCAACCGAATCCCTTCACCATACCGAATTCCTTGTTTTCGGTCATCACCACTCAACCGAAAACCTTCATTACTTGATCATTTTGTTTATTTTAAGTTAATTTTTATTAAAAAAAATTTAAAAAAAAAAAAAAAAAACAACAAAAATCAAAATCAAAAATGGAATCTCAAAGCATGTCAGCTCATCACGAATTAGATGCCATTATGGGAACCACTTCTCGAATTCCACGACTTTTATCCGCAGAAGGATTTCCAGAATGGAAATATCGGATCGAGAAGTACATCAAAATGAAGGATTTCAAGATATGGCGAAGCATTCTTAGACGTCCAATCCACATCACAATCACATTGGAAGATGGAACCATAACTGACAAGCAGGTTGAAAATTACACGGACGATGATTTTGAGAGAGTCGAGGAGCAGGAAAAGGCTCTCGCCACACTTACCATGGCATTATCTCCGGAAATTGCTCAAGGTTTCCGTGAGTATACATCAGCAAAGGCCTTATGGGAAGCACTAATTGAAGTCTATGAAGGCAATGAAGACATGAAACAGAGTCGCCAAGACATGCTGCGACATAAATTCAATATGTTTAACCATGTATTGGGAGAAACACTTGAGAATCAGTTGCAGAGATTTATCACACTTACCACAGAAATGAGTTCTGCTGGTGTTATGGTTACAAGATCTGAGATCAATAAGAAGTTGCTGAATTCTCTACCAAAATCTTGGGTTATGAATGTCTCAGTGATTAAAAAGACCAAAGATTTGAACAGGTTGAGTTTGGCAGAAACAATGGCGATCATTAAGGCTTGCGATCTCGATGAAAAGAAAAGGGAGATTAATCATGTTAATTCATACTCCACGGCAAATCTTGGGATCCAAACCACCAACAACACTGCTTTCTCAAGCTTTTCTACCCCTCAAGCTCCTCCAGTTTCTCATGTTCCACAAGTTCAACCCTATGTGACTCATCAACCCACCTCATACGTTATACCTTCAATGCAACACATTCAAGTTCCTCAACCTCAAACTTCTGTTCAACAAGTTGGTTCTATTGTTGGTTCATCCTCAAATGCACCCATTCAATCTCATGGAATCAGTTCTCAAGCTTCATCTTAAAAGAGAAGGAAGAAAATCTGACCCTTGCCACTGGTTTGGTAAACTGCTACAACGCTTTTGTGGCCGAAGAGCTTTCCCCACAACTGTCTTTTGCTGAACTAGACCAGATCCATCCAGAGGATGTGGAAGAGATGGACATCACCTGGCAAATGGCTATGGCTGTTTTTAGGGCAAAGCAGTTCTCCAAGAAAACTGGGAAAAATAACTGGAGCGTGAACTCTGACAAGAAAGTAGGGTTCAACAAAGGGAAGCTGCGATGTTACAACTTCCATGAGCCTAGACATTTTGCAAGGGAGTGTCCAAAGCCAGACCGAAGAGAGAATTCTAAGCGAACCATGGTGCCGGTGAACAATGTCAACAGAGGATCATCTTCAAGCAATCAGACTGCTAACTTGGCGATGGTGGCCCAATCCTTTGATTAGGAAGATCAAATTCAGGCTCTGAATATTTCAGGACCTGAAAATGCGCATCTTGCTCAAATCAAGGATTGTGTGGAAGAAGAAACAGAGAAAGACCCTGAAGAAAGATGATGAATCTTCAGTTTGCGTTCATGGTGCAAACTACTCCTGAGCCAGCCAAACCCGAGGTCAGTGAATCTGGTTGTTCTCAATCTTGCGTGAAAACTGTTAAATTCTTACGTGAGCAAATTGAATTAATCAAGAGAGAGAACGAGGACCTTAAGTATGAGGGTTACACACTTAGGAAAAATCAAAAACCTTTAAAAACACAATTAGAGAATAAATCAAAGGACTTTAAGAAACTGCAAGAGGATTACAGCAACAAATGCGAGAACTATGATCATCTCAAAAGAAAATTTGCTGCTGTGACCGCTAAACTTGACTCATTGAAAAATCGTCTTGAAAATGCTGAATTTATTTTTAACAAATTCGATGGGTCAAGTGAAGTAGTTGCAAAAATGATAGAGGAACAGATGCAGTGGAAGGACATTACATGTGGAAACCAGAAAAAAGTAGGATTAGGTTTTGAGAGTGTCCCTCCTCCTTTCAATCATAATTACACTGCTCCTCCTCTATCTCAACAAGAGATTGACAGAGAAACTTTCATGGTTTATGGGAAGCCAGCCTCTGAACAAGCAACAGGACCTAATGATAAAATTTTGAATACTAACATTTTTCTCTCAAGTGCAGATATGTCAGTAGTTCAGGGGGGGCAAGAAGCTGAAAAGTATGAGTCGAATAATTATGTGTCTAAATTTGGTGTTGAATTTTCTGATGAATCTGTGTTAAGCTCAAACACTAATGTTTTTGTTTCTGG